AATATTTATCCACTACACCTAAATTTAATAAAAGTCTACAAAGTAGGATGAAGTGGATTCCTACAAGTTTGTTTATAATGGCCATTTGAACCACATTTTGAACACTTTTGAGTTGATTTTTCTTCTCCACGTGATGGGATTCTCTTTTCTTTGTGCCTACCACATCTTCTTAGGGTAATTGGTGGTAGGACAACTATTTCACGCACATCATCAGTTACTATCCAATTAGTCTGATCACCAACTGGCCATATGGCTTCTGCATACGCAATGACTAGAGAGTTTGTTGTATAATAATGGGAACACATAGGATAACATGACATTTGTCAGTGCCTACATGTAGCACAAGCATGTGAGCAAGGTAATTGGTCAAGATCAAATTGCCGGCAAGTGCAACTCTTTTCCTCTAAATTCACAACTTCAATACGAGATCCATTGTATACATGAAACAAGTAAGATGTGATAGGCGATACCTGCATATTCACATACATACATATATTACTCAAACAAAAGAACCACTGATCAACAATAATTCTTTGGCAATCATTGTATCCTGATGATCAACAACTATTTTGTTCTAACAAAAAAATAAAATCTATAAGAGTTGTAAATATGTTTGCCAGATTTTGTTTGCATTGGGTCCGCAAATCTATGACTATAATGATTAACAATAATTCTTGCTAAAATGATATGTTGATTGAGATTAAAAACCCAAGACAAGTAAGATGAAAGGTAAGATCTAGTATGTGCTAGAATTAAAAATTTCTATGTAAGTGAATGAAATAAAATACCTGGAATGATAATCCTTGCTTGTTATTTTCTCGCACCAACTTGTTTGCCCAATCTGTTAAATGTGTATTCATTTTGGCTACCTCGGTTCGGCGCTCATAAAACCACTTCTGAAGAACATTCATTCTTAAATACTCAAGAAAATGAGTGATAGGTAGTTTACGAGCATCTCTGGTGATTGCATTGAGACATTCAGCAATATTTGTTGTCATGATGTTGTACCGCTTTCCATTAAAGTAGGCACGCGTCCACTTTTCATATCCAGCTAAATGGAGATAATTATCCACCTTAGTATCAACTTTATATATTTCAACCATAAGACGATTAAATTCAGGAACATGATATGCCTTAGCAGCTGTAAAATACAATTTGTGTGCTTTCTCATGCTTCAAATAGTGCCTAAGGTTTTGACTTATATGGAATATGCATGCACAAATTCTTTTGTATAAAAGGTTCTTAATATGTGATGAACTACTCCAAACAATACAAAAATCAAACTATCGTATTAAGCAAACAAAATGCAAGAAAAATCTACTTTAACCATGTAAACAAAATCTGGGATACAATACTGCTGCGTTAACCATGTAAAAAAAGCCAATAGGTCCCTTTTGTAGGTTCTTAATATAATACAATTTTGTTAATTATTGTACCAAAAAACTGCTTTAAACATGTTTGCTAGATTATGTTTGCATTCAGAAGGAAGAAACTATAAGATCAAAGAGACCACGTAGACAAGGAAAAATGCAAGAAAATTAACCATCCACACTCACCGTTGTTTAGAGTTGCATGTCTCCACAGTTTTCTCCTAGCAGTGGATGCCTTCACTATCTTATTCACATGTCTCCACCGTTTCTTACATCTACGGTTTTGCCGTCGGGTTTTCTAATTCCTCATCTAATAGGGTTTTGGTTTTTTAATTTTTTTGGTTTTTAAAATTGAGGGGTATTTGTGTCCATTTAAGTGAGATTTTGGATATATTTGAAAGTTTTGATAAAAATTGACATATTTGAAATTAAGTGCTTAATTTTTGCTATTTATAGTAAATTCTCTTCCGACTTCCATATGGGATTTGTTTTCTTTTTGTTTTGATTTTCAATTTTCTTTAGTGAATCAGTTTTTGTATTTAAATAAATCTCTTCTCTACTAATTAATAAAACACTTATTGTCAACCAAAACTCTATGAAATTACCAGTTTAACCCTTTAATTAAAACAGACCATGAATAAGAAATATGAGGCAGAAATGTAATTTCACACAACCAAATTTTGCTTTTTTTTTTTTTTTAAAGCCTCACCTAAATGTAATCCTAACATATCTCTAACTTAAAAATAAAATTATAAAAATTATAAAAAATAAAAAAACTTCCCACTCCCACATTTTCTATGATTATCTTCATCTCTCCTTCTATTTAAAAAACAAAAATAAAAAATTTTCTCACACACTTTGTGTGTGCCCATATACTAGTATTAATTAAGAAAAGTTGACATCGTTAAATTGGGAGTTAAGTTAAATGACATAATTAGAAGGAGACATGAAGAACACCGGATCATGGTTGTAGACATCGAAATTTCAGTAAAACAAATGTTCACCAATGCATTAAAGTTTTGACGTGTCAAGGCATACATGGCATACGCCACGTGTTGTACAAATTATACACGTGGCGTGTGACTCAACAAAATAGGGAGAAATACCCTTGAAGGATTAAACAAGTTTTTCTTCTCATTTTGGGCAATGACAAGGCAAGTACATTTCAATCCATTGAGGATCAAAACAAGTTTTTCTTCTCATGTTGGGCAATGACAAGGCAAGCATACTTCAATCCATTACGGATCAAAGCAAGTTTTTCTCATTTGGGCAATGACAAAGCATACACATTTCAAGTTTAAAATGGTGTTAAGTGGGAAATTAAGCCATAAGTTACACCACTTCAAGTTTAAAATGGTATTAAGTGGGAAATTAGGCCATAAGTTACACCACTTCAAGTTTTAAATGGTATTAAGTGGGAAATTAGGCAATAAGTTACACCACTTCAATTTCAATATTGCATTAAGTGGGAAAATTAGGCAATGGTGCTTGGAAAAGAAAAAAATATTTTGTGGTGGTGATTCATTCTCAAAGCCTATAAATAGGCTTCTCCATCAAGGTATCAAGCATCAAGGAATTCACAAATACATTTCTCTACTCCCAAATTGGAAGAGAATTCCCCAAATCCTTGAAGCTTTGAAACTCCAAAGCTCTCAAGCATCCAAATTCCCAAGAATTCCGAAGGACCAAGAAAGCTCTCTTCGTTCTTCGTTAAACCATTATTCAAGATCAAGCCCCAACGGCCCTTGAAGAAAGCGTTCATCATTCATCATCCGTTCATCCTAAGATCAAGCCCCAACGGCCCTTTGGATCAACAACCTCAACAAACCCATACATCCAATCGTTCTTCAAGATTAAGCCCAAAAGCCCTTGAAGATCCGCTCATCCATCAACCTTCAAGATCAAGCCCAAAAGCCCTTGAAGAAATCCACACAACCATTATTCAAGATCAAGCCCCAACGGCCCTTGAAGAAAGCGTTCATCATTCATCATCCGTTCATCCTAAGATCAAGCCCCAACGGCCCTTTGGATCAACGACCTTAACAAACCCATACACCCATTCTTCAAGATCAAGCCCAACGCCCCTTGAAGATCCATTCATCAACTGTTCATCCTTAGATCAAGCCCCGACGGCCCCTTGGATCAATAAACAAATCCACACATCTATTCTTCAAGATCAAGCCTAAAAGCCCTTGAAGAAAACCAACTGTTCATTCAAGATCAAGCCTCGACGGCCCTTGAAGAAAACCAACTGTTCTTCAAGATCAAGCCCAAAAGCCCTTGAAGATCCGCACATCCATCAACATTCAAGATCAAGCCCCGAAGGCCCTTGAAGAAACTTCCATCAACCTTCAAGATCAAAGCCACAAAGGCCCTTGAAGAAACTTACAACTGTTCATCCAATATCAAGCCTCGACGGCCTTTGGATCAACAAATCTACATCTTACGGAGATAGAATCAGAGGACCAAATTCGAGAGAGATCGTAACCCCAAAATCATCAAACCAAAAAATATTATTTTGTACACGTTATTCTTGTTTCTTGTTTCAAGGAAAATTCGTGTTCACAATGGTACCTAAAAAGAACACCGGATCATGGGCTACTTCTTACTACAGCTTTGACCAACATCGTAGCTTCTCGGATGCTAATTACTTCTGGATTTTGCATTTTCTTTGGCAACAATCTTATTTCAAGGAGTGCAAAAATGGAAACCATTGTTGCCGCTCATCTACTGAAAGTGCGTATCGCTCCCTTACACCGTTGGCTGAAATCTCTTGGCTCTGTTATCTACTTCGGGATCCTCACTTCTACCTTTGGACACCACCTCTGTTGTTTTGTGACAATTTAAGTGCCCTGGCCCTTGTTGCTAATCCTATTTTCCATGCTACAACGAAGAATATCGAGATCAATTACCATTATATACGAGAATTAGTCACTAGCAAAGCCATTGATACAACTTATGTTGCCTCCAAGAATCAGCTCACGGACACCTTCGCAAAGAGCTTACCAAAGGCTCGATTCAAGTTTCTCAATTCCAAATTAATTTCTCCTCCATCACAGCTTAGATTGAGGGGGATATTGTTGGATTTATCCAATATAATTAGAGAATAATATTGATTGTGATTTGATAACTTTAAAATATCAATTCTATATAAGTGTCTTACATTGGAAAATAAGATTGAGGGAGTCCTTAATTGAATATGATTATGATATTTAACTTGGAGGCCGAGAAAGTAAGTTTATGTTTCTTTTATGGATGGAAACCTTAGCTTTTAGCTTATATAAAAACATCAGTCCCTTCAAACCCTTGAAAATAAAACATAATACTTCTCATAAAGTAGTTGTATCCGGTTAGGTGTTTGTAGAAGTTTTTGGTGTTGTCTTGCCCTTCATCTTCCTTGGTCGACTACCATAATTACAATGAGAATCAGGTTTGTCACTCTTTGGTTTGTGTTTTAATTATATAATCTGGCTAACACATATTGGACTTAGTCCAGATCTTAAAGTCCAATGTGTCACATCGCATGAAAAGCCACCCACTCAACTGATCAAACCATCCACGCTCCATGTAGAAAACTCAAGACCTCTTCATTGACAACAAGACAAAGACAGCAAGGCATTGATGATAAGATTGAATGAGAAGAATTTTCGTTAAGCGTACGTTTCTAGGGTTACCAATTGTGACACGGTACAACTATATTTCTGCAGAAATAGAACTAGGGGAACTTGCATCTAATAATAAATAAATTTACAATAATAAATCTTGAACCCTAGCTCCTCATTGTACACGATGATTTAAATTACATAACTAAAAGTACAAATCAAATAAAATACATGAGTTGCTACTTTGAGCCATCTGCTGCATCAGCTTTTTGTTGTCTCTTTTTTAACAGAATTCGTTTCTTTGATCTCTGCTATCTTTGTTTTAATCTCAGTCGCATCTTTAATTTTTGCCGTCTGATCGTCGGTATCATTTTCTTCTTCGATTTTCTTATTGGCTTGCTCAATGATAGAATCCACCTCCTTTTCGACTTCCTCAACCTACAAAATTTTGTAATTATCAAATCACGTATAGTCTCAACGCATCTATCATTTCTTAAAAAAGTTCATATCGCAACAAAATCTTATATAATATGCCTGACGACCACTAAATGCGGAGCTGACGAAATCATGCGACCCTCACCCGCTTACTACGAATATATTATATATGTTGGTTCAGTTTTTAACGTGGAAATCAAGAAATTAAACAAGAGGATTCGGTATAAAGAAATATTACCTTCTCAATGAGATCATCTGCTAGCGCAGCATCCTTGCCTGCTTCTCTTGCCACGCTTTCAACAATCCTTGCTGCCTCTTGAAGTCTACCTTCCGGAAGATGATCGGCAATGTCGTCAGCCACCTTCTCCACTTGCCCAGCCACCTTCTCTACCACTTCTGCCACATCTTCCACTGTATCCAGCGCCGTTGAAAATTTCTCTGTACATAATATTGGGGCTGTTACATATGTTTATATAAACACGGAGAATGTTACATCACACTAGTATTTGATCATAAAATTAATTAATTAATTGGTCTAATAATATTTCCCTTTACTTGAAAAAACACAAAAAAAAAAAAAAAAAATATCTTTACTGCGAATCTCTCCTTCCACATCGGAGAAAAAAGTGATGATCGAGGACGGTGATGATGATAATTACATTAAGTGTGTCCTCATTCCGTACCTTTTATATTTTGCAATGGCCACCATTTGTTCTTCCAAAAGGGTATAGCTACTGAGAAAAGCATCCCCACAAGCCATAGTTTCCTGCATATGTAGTAATGTTGACATTAATCATGCACTGATCTGATCCAAAACCAAACATATGTGGGAAGAAATTAATTAGACAAGTATTTCAAAGAGATCAAGTAGTAGAAGATCATCGATTCTACGTACCAATTAATACCCGAAGGATCAGAAGGAAGAGGCGCTCCTGGTTCAACACTATTGACAACCACGGCCCTGAAAATAAAGGGTCGTACTATTTATCCATGACAATCAGATTTAGGAAACTCATGGAGTTGAAGATATACAGCTAGGAAAAATTTACTTACATCTTTTTCTGGCTACCACTTTCGACCTTCATGATAAGGGGCTGCAAGAAGCTCCGATTTCCGAGAAAACGACATCGGTCCCGATGATTAGTACTCAGACAACTAGGTCCTAAAACTGATGCCTGCAAATGTCTAGAACTGCAAGGAGAACTTATTGAGCTTCTGATCGACATGGCCATGGCCTAAAAATACAAGTTTTTGTTGAGATGGGCTTCTGTTGAAGACAGAGAAACAAGGTTAGAAAGCTAACAAAAGTGTGTAGAATGAGAATCTGCTTGCTTGTAAAAGCACTTCCACATAAAGTGGCTTTCTAAGCTTACAGGATTAAATTGTTGGAACTCTAGCTTTCAGAAATATTCGATTTAATGCATAATTTGGAGACGCTATTTGGTGGATTAGATGTAAAGTCAATATTATATAGACTGATCAAAGTCAATGATCATCACCGATCTCTTTTTCTCATTCGCTTCACGCTTTGTAATTTGTCTGGATTATTCTAGTTTCACATTGGTGGAACTTTCCTCGTTAATTTTCGAGACGTGTGGTTAAACAACCCCTTACATTATCAAATCAAATTGCTCGTCCTGTTCAATTTGAATGAAGTGGAATGGTTTTTCAATACCACTACTTCTTGCATCATTTTATCAACAATGAATCTTAATGAAACACTTTTGATACTAATAACAATTCCTTAAAATAAATATGTAAATAAATAGTATTATGAGTAATTTTTTAAAGTAAAAATCTCCTTAAAGTTAAAAATAAATAGTACGAAAAGTGTTTCATTAAAATTTATTGTTGGATGAAACGATGCAAGAAGTAGTGGTATTGAAAAATCATTCCACTTCATTCAAATTGAACAGGACGAGCAATTTGATTTGATAATGTTAAGGGGTTGCTTAACCACTCTGTCTCGAAAATTAACGAGGAAGTTCCACCAATGTGAACTTTTCAAGCTGTCGAAACTTGACTTTAACTATTGGCGCTATAATAATGTATGGTACAGAATTAGCGAGAGCAATTATTGTCCTTTTTGTTTTCTTCATTAATTTTCACAGTCTCATCTTGACAAGTCCTAAAGGCAAAGGCGACGAGGGTGGGACAGCTTCTTTGCCTGCACCAGCGGCACTTGCCACATGGTCGTTTACCAAAAACATCTTAGCATTTCGTGTAAAAATAATTTTATTCTGACACACAAAATTATTATATTTTATTATAAAAAATATAGTTAGTATATGTAATTATGTATTAGAGAGTCTCAACAGGTATTTTTTTTAAGGAAACTCTAAATAATGGTGTAGAATAAAAAATAATCAAGAAAATTATGAAGGCGACACATGTACTTTTGAATGTAAAAGGACAATATTATCCTCGAGGCACACCAGAACTTCTACGCGCAAGCAGTAGACAATCATGGTACAATCAAGGTCAAAAGTGATCAAAATAAGTATTTATTCAAAACCTATTTCACTCATTCTCATCAAATCGTTCCCACAAGGTAACTTTCAATTATTCATTCAAAATAGGATTAATTACCTAAATTAATTGATTAATTTTTTAATTAATTAATTAATTTTCTAATTGATTGCAAGATATTATTTTGACATAATATCTTGCAATTACACCCAAAAACCACCATAGGTGGCCGGTTCCCATCTCTTTAAAGGGGGCCGGCCACACCCTATAAATACCACCTTATTTCTCCAAAAACCTAATTACAACTCTCTTGCAAAATTCTCCAAATTTCTCTAAACATTTTCCCCTCAAATTCTAACTTTGGCACCGAAGGTTCTTCGACCAAAGCCCCCATTCCCATTCATTGTGGGCGCGTGAGGTTCTTGCCCTTAATCTAAGGTGTTAATTGTTTTGTAGGTGCATTTTTGTCCAAGAAGAAAGAGGCGGAAATTTGCATTCACAAATTGGTGCTTTTATTGAGAGTTTGATTCACACGCTCGAGGAAGACTCTCACATCCAAGGTTTTCCAATTTTTTGTTCATTCGTAGATTTTTTTGTACATTCTTATTCATAGAATTTTTTTATAAAAATTCTTTGAATAAACGTAAAAGAAAACTACAATGACAAGAAATTCGAAAACCATGACGAACAAAACTTCCTAAGTTCAAGGATTTGGACCACAGCAATCCACAAGGCTCAATGCGACGACAAGTGGAATGGCACCATCCCCATGGGGCACCATCATGGTAGCAACCACGGCAGCGTCCCTCGGCGAGCCCATTGCCCACGGTGAGTAGGCCACCTTGCAGTAAAAAGCCCAAGCTCGTGCCACAAGGCAGCTAACCCAGATTCAACGGGCCCAAGCAGTTGCGACAATTGGAGCAGCCCACACCTCGCAGGCCTAAGCCTATGCCACAAGGCAGCCATCCCATATTCAATGGGCCTAAGCAGTTGCGGTAATTGAAGCAGCCCACATCTCGCAGGGCCCAAGGTCGGCGTAAGCCCAATGTGTCCTAAGGCCAAGTCGCGTTACTTCAGCCCATATGGCAAGCTCAAAGCGAGCCGCGACTCGACGCAAGCCCAGCATGTTCCCTAACTGAGCCCAGGCCCAGTACCCATGTGCGCTGCATGCGGAGCAGCCCACTTTCGTGGCTTTCCAAGCAATCCAAACCGGTATAAGATCGGTTCAACCATCTGGGCTTCAGATTTTTGGGCTGACAATTGAACCAGGGGCATTTTCACCCAATTTCTCCGCAGATTTCACTTTTCCCAACTCAAATCTCACATTCAGAGTGCACTACACTTCTACCACCTATGGAAAAACCTATTATCCAAGCTATTTTATCCTGTATGGCGAACAACATTTGTCTTAACAAGTCATAGAGTTGACAAGCGCCCTTGCACAGGAGACGACCTCGTGAATCAACTTTTGCAGCATACCAAGATGCAGCGTGCCTCAGACGAGGTGTCCCAAAGCAAGACAAAGGCAGACGACGAACCTCTCTAGTAGCGTCTTGACAAGCAGCCCTTCAACCAGCCACGATTCGAGCATACTGGCAGTTTGCGCTCCCTTCTGGGCACTCGAGATAACGTATAGTCTTGTCTTAGCGTGCGGAGGAGCTTGCACTTTCTGTTAGGCCCACAGACGAGCATATATTCATGGTTGGGGCCACACTCATATAATCAACATAAGCAACATTCCAAGTGAAGTGTTCATTCGTTGCTAGGCCCGCAAAGAGAATCCTTCACTTCACATCAGAGTAGCCAGCACGACGGACAGAGAGAAGCAATCACTCAATCTGGCACAAGTTCAACCGACAATCTGCAAGGAATTCACTCACCTGCTAAGAACATACTACATGCACTGCAACCGCGACATAGACGAGTTGAGCCGAGCACATAGAAGAGAAGCCTAGACCAATAGGTCACGACTGGAGGCAGGCTGAAGCTCTACTGCCCCACTAAAGAAAAATTTAGGAAAAGGTTGAGAGACTCATGACTAAATGATTGCACGATTTCCAGCTCAGCGAAGTTATTGAAGAAGCGTTTCGACGAGACATAACCAACATAAGCGGGACACCTTTCATTGACAAAATCGATCAGACGAGACTATCCCACATAGATTGTCGAATACAAAGATTACATATGTTCTGATAAACGTAACAACTTAGCCTAGTGGTGCGTTGGGGGCAGACGAGTACCATAAGGATGCACCAACCCAACTACCAAGAACCAGGGGTAAGCCTTATTCTCAACACTCTAAATGATTCAATATTAAAGAACATATCACCAGTAATCGAGCATCACATACCTAGTGGTCCAAGTCATTCTGGTGTGCAGAACTTGGCTTAAGCCAGCCCCAGTTCTGCGCTCATAGTTGTGCCTACCTGCTCCACGACTTTCGACAACCCTTGATCTATCACCATGGCTCCTAACTATGCCGATCTTGCACTGTGGCTCCTAATCGCACCGACCAAGCTTATGGAACTTCAAACTTCAAAGCATCCAATGATGGAGTAGAAGACAAGGCTTTATTAGCAACCTTTGTTAAAGAAAAACTTAGTGGTGAAGAAGTTTGGAATCCATCCAGATTCTCAGCTGATCACTAACCAAGCCTTAGAATGGCACACGATGAAGCATCTAACGATTGCACAATACTTGAAGAAAGTCCAGGAGAAGCTCGATGCATTTCCCGCTTACACCCTTACGCGGGTTCCATAAACAGTTCGAAGTCTTAAACAGATCGCTAAACAAAACCTCATAGGATGATGATTATTTCAGTTGTTCAGCAGTCCAGCTTTCCTCAAATACATTCACGACAACGACTTCCATGTTATCCAGTACGAGAGGATAAACTAATTGCTCTCTAGTGCAAGAGGGTAAACTAGTTCCCCGACACCCATTTGGGCTGGCTCTCTAGTATGAGAGGATAAACTAATTGCTCTCTAGTGCGAGAGGGTAAACCAATTTCCCGACACCTATATGGGTAAGCTCTCTAGTGCGAGAGGGTAAACTAATTCCTCGACACCCATCTGGGTAAGCTCTCCAGTGCGAGAATGCCACATAACTTAAAAGATCGAATGCTTGAAGACCAACTAGGCAGCGAATGGTCAGGGGGAAGCAGACACTTTGCACTCAATAGTTTGCTCATCCGACACATTTTTCAGCAACTCCGATCTTGGCAGCTTCATCCTTGATTACTCCATCTATGGCAGCTGAGAAATCAAACTTAAGTAGTTCCTCATATTTGGTAAGCAGCGCAAACCGTGGCCCATGCCACGCCCTATGCCGAGCCAATCTTTGGCTTTAGTCAAGCCAAGCAACATAAGCAATGGCCCCTGCCACACCACATCCTTGGCCCATGCCAAGTCGACTCCTGGCCCCTGCCAGTCGACGTGCCGCACCACCTTGATGGCTGCCCCGTGACAGCACCACCCAAGAACAAGATAAGGAGAATTAAGTTTTTCTTACATTGGTGCAATGCGGAGAAGACCAAGAAATCAACGGAAGACGGTTCTTTGCAAGGGCAAGCAAAGAAGAGTGCTAGGGGAGGGGGAACAAATATCCTCTAATTTTCTCTCTTTCTTATAGGGACAAATAATTTCCCTCCAAAGTTGATTTAATCCCCTACTTAAGGTAGGCTTAAATAGGCTTTGGAGGCAATTTATTTCCCTTTCCTAGAATAATTTAATTTCAAGTCCAAGTGAGAATCTGCATCAAAGCTGGAGATATTTACACCTGTTGCCCTTTCCTACGAGCAGCCTAGCAAGTGTGGGGGCATTTGTGGAGTAAAAAATAATCAAGAAAATTATGGAGGCGACGTGTACTTTTGGGTGAAAAAGGACAATATTACCCTCGAGGTACATTGGAACTTCTACACACAAGTAGTGGACAATCATGACACAATCAAGGTCAAAAGTGATCAAAATAGGTAATTATTCAAAGTCTATTTCATCCATCCTCATCAAATCCTCCCCACAAGGTAACCTTCAATTATTCATTCAAAATACAATTAATTACCTAAATTAATTGATTAATTTCCTAATTAATTAATTAATTTTCTAATTGATTGCAAGATATTATTTTGACATAATATCTTGCAATTACACCCAAAAACCACCATAGGTGGCCGGTTCCTATCTCTCCAAAGGAGGCCAGCCACACCCCTATAAATACCACCACATTTCTCAAAACACCTAATTTCAACTCTCTTGCAAAATTCTCCAAAATTCTCTAAATGTTTTTCCCTCAAATTCTAACTTTGGCATCGGAGGTTCTTTAGCCAAAGCCCCTCTCCCATTCATCATGGGCGCGTGAGGCTTTTGGCCTTGACTTAAGGTGTAAATTGTTTTGTAGGTGCATTTTCGTTCAAGAAGAATGAGGCAGAAATTTGCATCCACAAATGGAACGTACCTTTACCAAAAAAATATATAAAAAAAAGCAAGATAAGGAATGCTATCTTTAACAAAAGGAGTGGATGGAATTGTATATCCACGAGAGAAAGGAATTGTGATTAGCATATCAAATGATGATACAATTCATGTGTAATGAATAAAAAACGTGTGACAAAATTTTTAGAAATGATAAGTTCATATATTATTTCCAAACAGAACGTCAAAATGGAATTAAATTAAATTAACAGTTTATATGTCGTTAAGTTGCTTGACAAAAACCCCGTTATAAAAACTTGACATACTAGCAGGCAATTGTATTACAACAGCATTCTCAAGAGGGGAGGAGGGGGGGGGGCGTTATATGAGATTAAAAAAGTGGTTGATATAGCTTATTTTATAATTTTGATAAATCTTTGGAGTTTTATAAAATAATATCTCTTAATGGGAGACTATTTACTTTTAGACTTTATACGAGGTTATATATATTTTTATGTAGTTATTTGATTATGCAACAAATTTATGAAATGTTCAAAAATTTATGAACATTTCATTACTTATAAACCGTTGGATTAGATTCTTTTATCTTAATCGTATCCATTGGTTTATTTATTTGAAATCAGACAAACGCCCTTGAAATTTGGTGATTACACTTATCCATAGTTTTACTTTTAAAGCTTATACTCAACGAAAGAGAGTTTTCTAGTTTTTCTCAAACTTTTAGAGCACAAACTTCAGATTTACTTCAGAGTTCTTGAGAATTGTTGCACTTGTAATAATGCAATGACATTTTTTTTCTTCTAGAATTGTACTATGAAACTAGCTAGTTCATTCGTAAAGAATAATATTCACATCCCATAACGATTCATCATGAAAATGTTACTTGATACCTATACCATCAATTTGTTTCTTTCATTCGATGATTAAACGATCTCTGATTTTAATAATTTTTTGTAGTGAGGATCTTTAAGTGCTGATTAAGAATTTGAACGATTCTGAGTATAAAATTTGTATATGGCACGAAATAGACTAAAAGTAGGTTAAAGGGTGATGATGAGTCAATATTATATTATATATTTCATCCTATTCTTAGTATAATTTGATAATTATTCTGGTAGAATTTTGATATTTTATATTTTCAACATAGGACATTCGACTTCCTCTGAAGCAAAACGTGACCAAACAGATGAATTTTGGAGTTATTCAAATTGGAGGACGTTCGTGTGTTCCTTAGCTTATTCGTAGCAAAATCTCACCACTTTCTACCAAGCGGTTTTTTTCTAGAGATTAAATGAAGGAGCTGTGCGCGTTGCTGGAAAGTGACATTTCTGAGCTTAAACTGCGTTTTTGGAGCCCAAGATGAACTCAGATGGGTTTGTGGCCTTCTAGAGAAGTGTTTAGAATAGTCGAAGCTTTAAATCCAGCTATTTTGGGCCAGTTTTGGAGCTGATATGAGTCCAAAACGTGGCTGTGCAAGATTTTGGGCGAATTTACCAAGTCAATTAAGGATTATATTTCCTATTATGTTTTAATTTATTTAGTTCCCTAGTCTTATTCTAAGACCATTTATTAGGAGTTTTTTAATGAGGGTAGGATATATAAGCCTTTTGGCAGACCTAGGGTTTCCAGAGAAGAAAGAACGCATGCAATTTTTGGAGAGAACATTTGGGGCAAAGCTTAGAGGTTTCAAGACTTATATTTTCAAGGTGTTTTCATTCTTTTTCTATTTCAATAAAGACTATGATTTTTAGTATGAAAATGCGTAACTAATTTTCTTTGGCTAGGGTAAGGCCATGATCCTTAGCAAAAATAGGTATTCTCTTTTTAATTTGCTTATGAATTTATGCATGCAAGTTTTGGATTGTTAATCACTATGCTTTAAACTATCTATTTGTCTTAGTGATTTGTGACCATTAGGAAATTTAGAAAAGTAATTTGATGCAATTTTGACGGAGGGCTGTCCCTAAAATTGACTAAGGCTTCTTGTGGTTAATATGTATAACCTCTTAAGATGGACGACACGTTTTAAGGGTTATATGGTTTTTCAAAGGGTTTTCATAAAACTTAATGAGTGTTGCATGTTGGATATATGTTCTATGTTGGAGGTTTCAAGCAGGATATACTCTAGGATAACCTAACCTTCAAAATATGCATGTATGGTTCGTAAGTAATTTAGAAGAGTTACATAGGATTGTTAGGGTGACGGCATAACCCTAGTATTTTCTCACTTTGAATTCTAAAAATTATTTCCTTTATCTTTCTTTAAAGTTGTGGTTTTTAAGTAATCTTTTTAATTAAATTCGTTTTTCTTAATTTATGTCATTAAATCACCTCTTCCAAAGACTTTGTTTTAATTAATTAGTTGAGAATTAATTTCACTTTGATCTCTTTAAATTAATCCTTGTAGATAACAACCTTACTTGAGCCAATTATACTACAATAACCTTGTTTCTCTTGCAAATATTTTAGATGTTTTTAACCCTTTGGCGCAGGTGGTAAAAATCCTATCAAAGGGTTTTTGGGAGGTCATTGGCATGGTAATCTATGTCCTAAAAGATATAGAAACTTGACCAAGTCTAGTGATACTTCTTCAAATGTTGGCAGATGTTTCAAGTTTGTAGTCGCTTATGCCTTGAATACGAAAAACGAAAAACAATGGAAACTTGATTAGGATTCCATTTTTTTTTCTTTATAAGGAAGATTAAATGTCACATATATAAGAAATTAGATCTCAAAAATGAACCTAAAGTCTTAAGAGTTAGGTGACAAGATACAGATAAAGAGACTGAAATATTTTCTAGTAAGTAGCTCAATTTATCCAAACTTGTAGCCTACGTACATAACCAGCCTAGAGCCTTGCAGCAACTTGTACGAGTACCAAAGTGACGGAATCCACTGAATGTTCCTCCCCCTTCCCTCCCAAACGATGGGCGAGAATCTCACCAAGTATGCAGGGAAAGTCCGAGTGAGCATACACAAATGTTCCTGCAAACGAAAGGGAAGGAGATAGATTATTACCATGATGGTACCCAAAGCACGGATAATTGTTTAACTAGAATGCTTGAACAAGCTAACAAGTGTTCGCTTATATCATGCCTGATCAATAATATTGCAAGTTAGCTGCCAAACATTTGATCCCACACTCTAGGTAAATCAACGAAATTCAAAAACTCATTCAGCCTTGTATAGTAAATTTGTCTACCACTCTCTAGCAACCAAATTATTCTAGAAGATCAAGGCAACCCGTACTTTTTAACTACACTTTTCCTGAATCAATATCCCGATGTCCAGAACATCTCACAGCTTTCCGGTTGGTATGTTTAATAGTTTGGAATCCAAAGAGAGATGCTAAGTTTCTATGCAAAGTGCAAACAGGGACATGTCGATCAAATAAATTAATGGCATTGAGAGAGGCTAAATGCGACGACCTCCATTCAACTTTGGGTCAATGGGTAAAAAATCACGGACTTTACATTCAATTTATATAATTAAACTTCTGGATGAAGACATTAGCAATTCACAGTACATATCTAATTCGAAGTAGTTTAAACAATGCAGAAATATTGGTTCCATATTACGATGCATATTCTAGTGAACCAACTAATGCTCCAAGTCACTGAAAGAACTAATTATCTGACTAACAATGTGCTTATTACAAAGCTAAACAAAAATCAAAAGGGCATACCACAAAACTAGTTACATTAGTCTCAAACAAGCAGAACATGATTTTAAGAGAGGACATACCTACACAAATATGATGTGAAGATACTGCAGAAACCTCACCGTGCCAGCCAAATTTCAGTTTGTATCATTGACAATTGTGTTCACTTCCTCGACACTAGAATTCAATTCTGTAGATTTATCACCCAGCTTAGAACTTTCTGTTATTGGTACTTTAACAAATTGTTTACCACGTGCCACACGAATTCGTCTTCCCATAAGCAGCTGCAGGAAAATAGTTTCCAAGAGGAAATCTTCATTTTAATATAGTTTATTAAATGTCTGTATAGAATGCGGTTGAGAATTTTAACTTTTCATGCCCTAGACATGATTTGAACACATAATTTCAATTGAATCGGAACAATCATCAAACAGAAAATTACCTTCCCGTGGGAAGCAGAAAGTGCTGCCTCGGCCTCGGCCTTGGTTTTGAAGCCCACAAATCCATATCCTGCAGACCTTCTCGGGTTATTTTGGAATACAATTTCTGCGGTAACAACATTATAATCCTCTGACTTAAAGAGCTCCTTGAGATCTTTAGATCTTGCTTCATATGGCAAATTTTCCACATACAAATTGAAAGTTATTGGCTTGGGTTGCGAAGAAGGGGGAGGAATCTTCGTCTTTTTTGGCCTGGCATAAGCCATCTTTATGATACGACCCTCCATTTCCTATAGGGCATTCCAAATAAGAGAAAATCCCAATATGGGAAGGAAGCCACATAAGTATCATACATTTAGTTGCGCAAAATATAGTGGAAGACAAAACTAATTTGAAGAACTTTTGATTTCTTTATCTAACACGTTTGCAAAAGCAGAAAAGCCAACGTATCTTGTAATATTTTACTAGTTAACCCAAGTGTTTCATCGATTCTTAGACTTCAAAAGGAGACACTTAACCCCTTAAACTATAATTCATGTGTTTGGTTCTTATCATAATGTCTTTTCCAAAGATTAATAAAGTGAGCAGTCACTCAGTGGCATATTGATCACTTATTCAGGGGCATAAAATGATCTAGTTCTCCAATATTGAGAAAACAGTGGCAGCACAACAGCACTGCCTTCTTCCCTCTCCCTTTCCCTAAAACATCTTCTAATCTCCACCACCGCTATCATTCCATTCAAGCACATATCTCTTCTCGTTGCCCTAAAACTTCATAAAAACCACTCCTGCCCCTTTCTTAAATTTCTCTTGCTTTCTCCTCTTTTGACAATTTGCCACTCTTCATCACACTCCTCGCACCAAAAGGTCTCCTTACAAGAAGAGGAACAAACCCAGCGGATGAGGAAACTATGCTTTAAATTGATAACTTGGATCGAGGGTGCGCCTATGGATTTCAGCTATTCTACAAGTGGGACAAACAAAGGGTAAAGCAACCCAATTGAGTATGTGTACCTATGTTTAAGAAGGATGCAACTGACAACCAACAAGCTTGTCAAGGTTATATTCATTACATGATTTTATAAAGAATTATGGTGGTTAAGTACGTGAAGGTTCCGGAGATTTTATCACTCTGCAATATATATGCCTTATGTGGCTATTACTATAACAAAATAAGAAATTTGCATCAATTTTCCCCAACCAAAAATATACTTTCACTTCCAGCCCCAAACAGTTTCTAGGGCACCAAACAAGTTTCATTATCATTTGACAGGGTACTTTCAAAGCCTTCACAACGACTAAAAGATAAAATAAGCATAGTAGAAGTTCAGGATATCATAGTTCCAGCTCAATTCCTCGTTCCTTGATGCTAAATTAGCTCTGCTTGTTGAGCAAAGTTGAAGGTATGTTCAACAAGACTAAGAAGGTCACAAACCAATGTCAGAGGTGGAAAAAGGTAAATAGAAAGTGAGCACGTGAGAGGGTATGGCGCTAAATAATGGCGCCATGAGAAAGAATGAAGGCATATAGATGTTTTGGCACGAATTGATGACGATGATGATGGAGTTAACTTGTTTCTAGAGGTGTCAAAAGCCTCTAAGAAATTGCCATTTATGCTCTCTTAATGACTGACTGAATGACTTTTATCATCTACAAATGAAGAGACGAAACAATAGACCTCCCCTCCAGGAATACGATAACAAACTAGGCTCTTATATAAGTACTCATGTGCCATCCCTAATCGTATGAATAATTCAACGTCTCACATTCCCAGATTCAGTGCCTAATATGGGGACAGAAGTTAAACTTAGAGTCGAAGGGATACTATCATAGTAGTGAATTTTGCCAATCAATTAAGTTCCAAAGTACAGACACAGGGCAAATGCACACACATATACATAAAACCAAGAACCAAAATTCTCTTCTTATATTTTAAAACGGCAATGAATTTTCAATTCGAATGAAACAAACACAAAACAGTAGTCAAGTAGATAAGTAGAACACTACATAAAGTCTTAGCTAGTGAAAAGTTATAAAATTCACAAATTTAGTAACTAGTAGTCTTTCTCACTGACCAAACCGAGTATAAAACTAAACTCACAACAACACAAGCATTCACAGAAGATAACAGAACCCGATACACTTACAGATGATTCAAGATTATCCAGAGCTATTCGAGCCTCCTCCGGCGAACCCATTGTTACAAATGCCAAACCCCTGTTCCTGGTCTTGTCATACATGGCAAGCTTACACCACCAAAGGAAAAAACAGACAAAAAAAATCAAAACCCATGAAATAAAATGGCAAATTATTAATACCAAAAAAAAAAAAAAATCCCTCTTCAAAGCAAAGAAAAATGAAAAACCTCAACGTCCACGACGGTGCCGTACTTCTCGAACAGAGTACGGACGTCTTCCGGGGTACAATGCCAAGGAACATTCTGGGCAAGCAATCTTGTGTCGGAGAACTCTTCGGGCTGGGCCTCGAGAACTGGGGTTTCGTCGAGAGCTTGGTCTTGGGCGGCGGCGGAGAATTGGAGAACGAAATTTCCGAGCTTTTTGGCCCTGAGGGAGGAGGAGCGAGAGTGGGTTTGGGGGAGAGAGATAGAGGGGGAGGAAAGAGAGGTGGAGAGCGAGAGAGTGGTCGAAGCGTGCTTGGAGAGGTGGCGTGGATTTTGGAGAGAGAGGAGAGGTGTGAGAGGGAGGAGTTGTTCAGTGGGGAAAGAGAGATGACGAAGTAAGGCCATTGCTGTCGAGCTCTGTGAAGGGGGAAGTTGGAAGTAGGGGTAGGGAGTGTGTGTTGGGGTTTTGGATAAGCAAAGTCTTGCGGTCTCAAGTGGGAGACTGGCAGCAGAGGTGATTAATTACAAAGTTGGCTAGAGGTAATTTAGAAGCTCGAAATCTATTAATTTTCTTTAATTTATTCGATTTGACAGTCGAAAATTAAAAAGTGTGTGAAACGTAAAATAAGAAAAATCAAAAGTCAGAGATCGAAAGGGTTAACCAAACCAGACGCTATCCTTCAAGACTGATCAATATTCTATGATATTTTATGATGCTTTAATTTTATATGCACCATATAAGAGTGGACAACTGAACTCGAAACCTTGAAATAAAGGTTTTTAACTACTTAACTAATTGTAATCTTCTTAAAAAATAACATAAAGGATTAACTTTATGATTGAATAAGCAATTAAGTGATTCCATGGGCAATTAAGCAATTACTCACACAAGACTTTGCTACTCGAGAACAAGGAGTAATTCCTTCTCAAAACGCTTAGGGGTCAATTCACAGAAGTTTATACTTATGGTCAGAATAAATTATTTGATTGTCGTATAATAATAAATGGAAAAATTCTTTCTTTTCAAATTGTTGCTAAGACTTAAAAATAAGTCCGAATCCAGCGTCATTTTGGTTGCCTTCTCTATCGGGTTTGCATTCTGTAACAAAACTCAATCTAAGTGACTGCAATCTTTTGGAACTTCCCAATGGTTTTGGCTGCATGCTCTCATTAGTTGAGTTAAATACGAGTAGAAATCCATTTGAAAGCCTACCTGAGAGCATTTCTCAACTGTCTCAGCTTCACTTGCTTGACGTGGAGGATTGGAATGCCCCAAGCTTCAAGTGTTACTCGCTGCGCATGTCCATTTGTGCAAGTGCGGCGGGATGTTGAGCTAGTGTACAACTGCAACTGCATCCAGCTTGGTTTACTTGCAGTCCATGAACAAGTACACCCACCTTGGTTATATCTCCTCTGGATTTTATGGAAACCGAAAGAGGCTGGATCATTGGCCATCTTTGTGCTGTGGCTCTGTGGGTTCGGGTCATTTATTTATTTATTTTACTGTTCCCGTCTGTTTGTTGTTGCCTTTGTTTTTCCTCTTCGTTTATGAAGTTGTTTGACAAAAAATAAAATTTAAACTGAAAGTGAAGTAGAACATGATTTGTTAAAAATAGAATAATTATACTAAAATACATGAATAGGAGATTTAAATTTAGGTGTAGAGGCCAAATCACACTGTTATAGCTAACTTGACTAAACTCATGTCTGCATGTCATCATCAACTCATGATTTAAATCCAAGAAATGATGCTAGTATGCAAGATCTAGCCTAACTTTGCATTTCAGATTCATTCATCTTAGGCCCCTAATTAGTTGCATAACATCCATTTAGTATTACGCTCTAATAATATTTTCAGTGTCCAACAAATTTCAACTCTTCTTCAAGTAGAAAAAGCAATGGGTCAAACCAAGCCAAGCCGGTTGGGTTTTATGTGTACGGTTTACTTGCTTTTAATGAGGATTATGAGTTGACATTATGCATTGTGGGGTTGGTCTAAATGAGTACTTAGCACTTGATTTAAGTATTCCAACCTACTTTATGAGAAGAACTTAAATGGAACGGGTTCATCACCACTGTGGTGCCATGTGACGGTGTACCCATGCCATGGATCTCTCTGAAGAGTGTGCACGTCACAATTTTCAAAGGATTTAGATTGCTGATTATTGAGCGTGGTGACGTCGTGGATGTCTCTAGTGGTCTAGTAGCACTTAACATGGTCTACAGTGGAAGTGCAGACGTGTAGTTTCTGTATAGTATATGAGCAAGATGTGGAAGATTTATCTCGACGCTGAGCAATATGCTGGAAGATTATCTCCTTGTTCATTCATACCACTAGGCAACAGTAATATACGAGAACATGATCAGTGAAATTCATCATAAAACGCAAACAATTTCACAACTGGAAGTAACTGCTGCATCCCTAGAAGTTACCGAAGCTGTAAAGACGAGCACTTGTCTTTGAAAAGAAAAGCGCCCAACCATTCACTAAAAGACTTAGCAAACGATTCTTACAATCAAACTTGTTAGTCATGCATCCTGAATACACAAGGTACAAACGGGACTCGTTGAAAAAATTTCTACTACCTCTTAGAGGTTCTACAGTTAGGGGAGTTACAGCGCAAGGGTGATAGGGGCTGTCTTGCTGCTTCTTGCTCACTGAAATCAATCTTCCCTTGAATCGGGCTGCTTGTCTTAGAGCTTGATTTGCGCTTATTTGACTGCAACGGAGAGACAATACATATGTTACTACGTTAGAGCAGACCAACACATAGAATAAACGAGTCAAGGCTGTTATTTGCCCTTGTCTCACCTTCGCTGATGCACTGTCAGTATGTTTTCCACCAGAAGCAGAATGGTTTCCTTCCTTCTGGTACAGCCTCAGTAATCTTTTGTTCTCCACATCTAGGACTTTGTTTTCTTCAAAAAGCAATTTGACCTGCGTACGTTATATATGTGGGATATCATTCTACAATATATTTACGTATATACATCATAAGTATGGGATATTGTTATACAATATAGAGTATTCCATGGAAAACCGAGCAAGAAGACTGATAAGGAAAATAAGCGGAGGTTGAAAATAGTCTGCACTCCTTACCTCCTCTTCAGCCGTACGAAGATTGATCCTAAGATGTTCCTTATCCTTCTCAAGTGTCTTTACCACAGCAACTAGAGATAGAACTTTTTGAGACGACGGCTTCAAGCTACCACATTATCAAGAGAAAAGTTAAGTGATGGCTCAATTCAGAAACAAGTTCAGATATGGGCAGCCACTCTCAAAGTAGACTTTGCATAAGTAGATTCTAATTCATAAACTACAATGTTAGCACTCACTAAATCTTCTGAGAAAAAGACCATTCATAATTGTGAACAAACTCACCAGTTCCACATTTTTAGCAATCTTGCACATGACTCATTGCCTTTGTTGGCCTCCAGAAACGCACATGCAGACACAGCTTCATCTTTGCTGATCAATGTTGCCAAAACAGAATCCAGTAGTTTGTCTTCAATTGCTGTGTCTTCAGCAGATGAATCAACCTTCAACATAAAAACTTTTATCAGCCTTCATAAAATCATATACAAATAAACTTGGATTTTACAACCTATTTGTCAATCACAATCAAAATAAAAGAGCAGAAACAAGATGGGGGGACAAGAAAAAGAAACTAAATCCAAGAATATCACAAATGACTACAGCATTTATCTAAATTACCTATTAACAAAACCCTCTTGTTGTGTTTTTTCAAACCTCACCCACGTCATCATATCATCTCTAATTTGAAAAAGAAACCCACGTTTTCTCTCTATATTTCTCCCCCTCACATTTCTCTTTAACTTCTCTTTTCAATATTATAGTTTTTATTCTTATAAAAAATTTTATATTTCCGCACTCTTAGTGTGAGCTTCATCTAGTATGAAATAGCAAAATATTGGAACAAAAATATGCATTCTGCTATACTGTAAGAGCAACAATACAACAGCAGAACTCCAAATTCATGATTGAGAAACATGCTACAATGTCGAAAACAAATTATTGTCTTTAACACTCATTCCTATTTGATTAATTCATTTTATTTTGGTTGGACTTAATGCTTCAATTGAAGCTTCTGATTTCTGAGAGGTTTACATTAATTCTCCTTGCTAATTTTTGCCATCAACATCAGAACCAAATTGCATACATATACTTATTCTTCAAAGTGCTTCAAAGAAACCGGAAAAGATAAAACTCATAAAAGGGCACAAGTTTTATTCCAAGTTTTTTTCTGTGATTCTGTGCACATGTATGTGATGTTTTCTCAAAGCTAAAAAAATTGGGGAAAACTGAAACCAGGAATAACAGCTTATCTACAGCATCTAAATAAAAAATGAATTTTGTAAAAGTTTACATGCCATTTCACCAAGCACAAAGGAAATTTCATGAAGCTGCAATAACATTCTGGAAACCGAAAACATTACACAATTGAAAAAAGAAAAAAAAAAAAAAAAAACAAGCAATTCACAGTATAAAGTATAAACACATGAACTTGCAAGTCTCACAAACCCACAATAGTAAAAATTCCGACCCATTGTCCAAGTTCATTTCTTTCAATTGATCAAAACCTATTCACAGTGAAAAAAAAAAAAAAAAAAAAAAACAAAGGTTGAAGAAATTACTGAATGCATCTCCATTTTGTACTTGTATAACCCCAATTCATCCCTCAACTCTCTGACTTCGTCCTCCAACTCCTGAACACGAATCTCGGCCTCCTTGGCACGCTGATCAGCCTCGTTCCCAAAATCCATCAAAGCCTCTCGGTCATGATCGTAGAGCGAGCACTCCCTCTCCCACTTGTTGCATTGAGTCACCAGGTGCGCACACTCCGATGCCAATCTCTGATTCTCCTCAACGAACTTCCTCAAAGCTTGTGCATTCATACTCGCTTCGGCCTGTTTCACAAAACAATCAAATATCCAAAATATGTATGTGTACACACACACAATCATATGAATATGTAAAGTCACGAACCTTAGCGCGCTCCAGGACTTGCTCTTTCTTCTTCAATTTCGAGAGAAGAAGCGAGTACTGATTCTGAAGCCGCCGTTTCGCTTCTTCGGAGCATCGAAACTTCAATTCAAGGGTGTGCGTCGACACAGGGAGGCCCAAGGAGTGGTCGATCGATTCTTTGATATAGTCGTCGATTTCTTGCGGAAGATTCATTCTTTCTCGTTAGTTCTTATGGATCTTGGAAAACCCTAGACTCGCCAAAACCCTAGAAATCGCAGCAACAAAAAATCTGATTTTTCTTCCGCTAAGGTTTCATCGGAAGGTGAAAGGAAGATTACCGATAATCACTCTGGGTGCGAATTGAAACCCTAGAAATGGTGAATTTCGAATTCGCGGGGCGTGGAGATTTGGGATTTGGGGATTTTGGGGTCTGAAATCGAGAGGATGGGTTTATTTGGGGCTTTCTTCGCTCTTTCTTGCTGTACTTTTTGAATT